ATATAGAGTTTATGATGTTTTTAGAGTTTATAAAGATTATAAGAATTATGAAAATTATGGTAATTATGAAAATTATGGAAATTATAAAAATTATGGAAATTATAAAAATTATGGAAATTATAAGAATTTCCAATCGTAACAACACTCAGCATATGTCAAATAATTATCTTGAAGATTTGGATGCCTTGCAACAAGAACATCTGTCATTGTCTTGATTTCCTCGAATCATTGAAGCATAAGATATGTTGAATTCCAACAAGTAGGCATATCTATTTCTGGCATTTTAAAGTTCTCTTCTAATGATCTTGCAATTTTTTTCATGTCATCCAAAAGTAATGACAAATTGCGCAGTTTGCTAGAAAAAGCACGCGCTTTTTTGACTTCTGATGCTATCTTTTGTAACCCTGCATGTACACCTAGATTCAGAATATGTGCGACACAATGTAAGTGAATAACATTCAGATTTTTGAATTGTTGTTCAACCTTATTATGCAACAAGGAACCCATTTTAACCATATTTGCTCCATTGTCAGTGGTAATACTCAAAAATTGATCACCAATTACAAAGTCACTGAGTATACTGCAAATTGTATCAGTTATATTTTCAGTTGTATGCGCATCTTGCAATAGAACAATATCAAGAAGTAAAGTTTGTATTTTATGTTGATCCAATGTATTGTAATACCGAGGAATGATTCCATATTGCATGCTGATCAGATATCAGCTGTTAACGAAAATTTACCAGGTTGCTAAACAAGATATGCTTGTAACTGAACATGTCAGCTATCAAATCCATCACTTACTTGTTTTGCAATTGTTTGTCGACAAGGAAGTGTATATCTTTCATTAAGTGCACTAACAAAAGTTTTAAATCACTTGCTATCTGTAAGCATGAATGGCATTTGATCTGTGACAACCCAATGTGTAAACTTCTTGTTGATATCATTAACTTTTGCTTGATCTTTGTGTTCATATGGGTGGAAGCGTTGGATATCTAGAGGGCGCTGATTCATTACAAGATAAGTACTATGATGTTTTGCATCAAAATATCAAGTCATTGTTGATGTTGCAGTCTTCTTTTCAAAGCGAACACGACATATTTTACAAAGTATTGAGCCATCAGATTGTTCAATAATATAATCATGTACAGCAGTCACCTTCATACGTTTTGTCGGAGTATTATTAATGCTTGGAGTATGACTTGGTGCACTGCTTGATCCGCTACTTATTGACGTGAAACTCTCTTCCTGGTTTTCATTAAATAACATTTCATTATAACCTACATCATCAGTAAGAAACAAAACTGGCTCACTTGGTAAATCATTGTGCGTGCTTGAATTGGAAATAGCCTGAGTGTCTTCAAAACTCATTAGTTTTTTTTGTCATGTATTTTTGAGTAAGAAAAAGAAGTCGTATTTGTAACGTGTTATGATCATTTTATGTCACAAGATTATTTTTACGTGGACGCGACATAACAAAAAAAAGTCAAAAACCCTCTTTCTCATATCAAAAATAAGAGAGAGAGGGAAGAGCGAGATGGAAAGGAAGAGGGAAAAACGAAATGGAGAGGGAAGAGTGAGATGGAGATGAAGAGGAAAGAGCGAAATGGAGAGGGAAGAGCGAGAATAGCAAAATGACACTATTATATTACTATATATTAATATTATCTAGGATGATCCTACAAATCGTCTCAGATCATCCTTAGACATGACTCGGTCCTATGATTAATCACATGACTAAGTGGGATTGTGAAATCGAAATTTTCTAAAATTAGGATCAGACCGGGATCATCCTATTAAAAGATCATTCAGGACTTGATCCTTAAGGACTGATTAACATCTCTACTTGATGATATATATTTGAAGTAATTAACTTTAGTAATATTTTATAAGAAAAATAGAAGATGGCTACTCATTTTGATAATATATACCTGGAATAGTTAACTTCAATAATATATTATAATAATTATAAGAAAAGATTATCTATTTTTATTATATATTCTCAATATATATGATTGATGATATGTTCTTGAGTAGTTAACTTCAGAAATATTATATAATAATTATAAAAGATAACTGCTCATTGATGATATATTTTTGAATAAGTATTTGGAATAACTAACTTTGATAATATTATATAAGAAAAATTAAAGATGGTTACCTATTTCTGTAATGTGTTTTCAGATATGTTTTTATATTATTTATTCAATAATATATTTCAGGTATATTTTGGAATAACTAACTTTAGTAATATTATATAAGAAAAAATAAAAAAGATTACCCATTTTGATGATATATTTTTAGTATGAATTCAGAGTAACTAACTTCTGTAATATTATATAAGAAAAAATGGAGAAGATTATTCATTCTGATATATGCATTTAGCTGTGTTCAGGTAAAGTAATCTGCAATAATATATATAAGAAAAAATCACAGAACATTTCATTTTTTTGTGATATTAAACATGAGTGAAATCGATTTGATAGCAATTCCTGATAATGTGTTTGCAATATATCTGATAGCATACATTTTTACTATCTACTCCCATAAGTGACACACAAATTGTAATCAGATCATTAAACTCACAATAAGATCAATCAGCTCACATGTGATCTCATAACTGAAACCAATCATGATTACTATTTAGGTCTTGACACATAGTTAATAGGGATTAACCTGAGAATTCACATTGCCCATTATATCCTATCTCGGGAGGTACCTTAAATTTTAAACCAGTCAGAATCACTATCCTGATATATAATGCATCACATGTAACTTGATGACAGAAATCGATCAGATCATTAATCTGATATATGATAGTTCGAATGACTTGAGTTTTGCGATTCATACATCACTCGAATGACTTGAGATTCGCATTCTTCACGTCACACCTGAGTGGGAATAACCTAGACTAAGTGAAAATAACATAAGCAGGCAAGTTCAGGATTTTTTTTAGTTAAAATATAAATTAATCCGTGGCGTGGCGAGGACCTCTAAGCCGAGCCACGAAGCTAGTGCTGGGGCACAGACAACCTCTAAGCTTGTCTGATGTTCAAGTCTCTAAGCCGACCTAGCACTGGCCCCACTTGAGCGCAGACGACCTCTAAGCTTGTCTGACGTTCTGGTGGGATAGGAAATCTGATGAGTGAATTGGATGCATCTTAAATATTACCGATTTTCCAAATCTTCCATGCCTAGGGGTTCTCGACCCGATCGTGCACTGGCGAGAAAGTTGGAATCCGAGCACTCGCATAAACAGGTCCATTTCCATCAGCTGACTTTTTTGGAATATGGGACTATAACCGGTGGGACGTTTGTTGCTGGATTAAAAAGAGAACAGAAAGAGGTAGGTCTTCCAAAATGATCAGTTATACAGCCGAAAGGTGTCTCTTCTGACCACGAATATATTGTTTTTTTATGACTTCCCGTAGCAAGGAGAACGTTCTTCTGGAATGGTACTGAAAAAAAGGAAGTCGATATCTTATGCCGAAAGCTCGAACTCAGAAACAGAAACATATTTCTGTTACTTTGAAACTTAATGACTGACGAAGATGATAATTTTACCAGCCCACAAACGGAGGATATTAATGAATCCATGATAGATGCAGAAAAAAGGGTCAATAACACGGTAGGTTTTTTTTTATTTTACTTCTCTAAGTAATTATTATGACGTTTACAGATTAAAAGGCTTTTACCATCTAAGGATCTGGAGGAAATCTGGAGATTGATCATGGATCGTTTGAATGAAAAAAAACATAAAATTCAGTAAGTCACGATATGATCTAACTTATTAGATATGCAATTATCAAACTGGTAACATTTGTTGTAAATGACAGAGCAATAGGATCAAGAATAATTGGTCAAGTGTTGAGTGGTTGCGAATTCTGAAGACTGAAGATAAAGCGAAATTATTCAGAACTTGTCAGCAAAAATTATTAAAAGATCTAATTGACAAGAATTTTATTAATTTAATCGGTAATCCTGAAACCAGTATTGTAAGTCCTAAAGCTATAACTTTTTCCTAAACAGTCGAATTTGACATAGTAATAATTGGTTTCTGGAAATTTTGAAATGTACGATTATAGAAATGAAAGTCTTCGGTTCTGTATCAGTGTTTTTTTTTCTTTTTAAATCCAATGATTTTTTGTCATCTTATATTGTCTCGATAGCTTGTTGTCTTTATAGTTTAGATCAAAAGATTTGACTCTTGCTGTTTTAGAGAGAAGACACTCGAAGACAATTGTGATAAAGATGAATCTGTAGAATAATTAAAATGTGACGAAAAACCATAACTACAAAGATGGAAGGAATTCAATTGTTCTTTTCTTTGTTCATCAAGTTTGATAATAGTTCGAGATTTGCGGTCAGAGTTTGGATGTTGGGACCAAAAAAAGGGCCCTTTAGAGCAATGATATTTTAGGTTTGTACCAAATAAATCTCAGTCAAGATTGTTTTGTATCGAGTATTAAATTTGTGTGTCAAGTATTTTTGTATCAAATAAATTTAAGTCTGTTTGGACTCAAATACATGTTTCCACACAAAATGATAATTCTTTACGTTGATCGAAATTGTTTTACGAATTGATTCAAAAGGATTAAAAGATGATAAGGCCATACAAAATCTTTTTGTTTTCATCAAAACCAGTTTATGAAATTTAAATTTTGAGGCATTTTATATAGTCATGTGTTATAACGATAATAAAATTATTTTCACATTCATGAGAAATCGTCAAAATGCAACTTCCAAAAATTCGATATGAGTGGCAGAACAAGATTTTCAAGGCGGAGTTAGGAATATCGCTGATCAACATGATTCAGCCCGGAATTAAGCAGTAATATTTTTAATCGATACTAAAACGAATAGCTGGTTTTAAGAAAATGGCTTCGACTAAAGGAACAGACAAAGTTCTCGAAAAGATTCAAGAATCACTCGATAACAAAAACTATTATGAAGCGCATCAAATGTACCGTACCGTGTGCAGACGGTAAGTTTCTTTTCGGCAAGTATCTTTTTTAACAGAGTAATGACAAAAAACTGAAAAATAAGACAAAGGTTTTCTTCGTGTAAGAACAAAAATATCGAGATTATCTGCAAATTCTCCGCATCTTAAAGAAAGGTTTTCTAACAGATAATTACATGTATTTTCATTTATTGTAGCTTAATAAAACAGAAACAACACAGTAAAGCTATAGATATTTTGTATTCTGGGGCACGGTCCCTGTTGGAGCATAAGCAAAGCGGAAGTGGGACTGATCTTTCTTTGTATTTGATTGATGCGTATTTAACGGAAGAATTGAGTGTTAATGACGAATCAAGAGGTTTATTTTTGAATCCCTTGTTTTACTATTTGATTTATTAATCATTGATTTATTTTTTGACTCCTTTTCTAAATTGCACATGTACTGTTATCAATTGATAGATCGAATAATTAACTTGCTGGAACTTTTCCCGCACGATGAACCTGGTCGAAAACGATTCATCGATGCAGCTATAAAGTAGTTATTTTACAATAATTAAAAAATTCAATTATGGTATTAAGAAAATAAAAAAATATTTATAATACAAAAAAAACAGTTGGTCGATTAAATTTGGTGATAGTCCAGCTGGTGATCCCGCGTTACATCATTACGTGGCAGAATTACTTTGGAAAGGTTTTTCATCAAAACCTCTCTTTCTCTTTATATAAAAGAAATATTACTGTTGATTTGAATGGTTGCTAACCTTTTTTGTTTACATTTGTATGAACTCGTCGGCTGGTAGACAAAATGTACCAAGAGGCGGAATCACACTTTCTTGCAGGCACATCTGCTAGTAGCAGATCATATGGTAAAATGTTGGCAGAATGGTCGAGTCAAGATGATCCAAGTAAACGAGGAGCTTATCTCGCCCGTGCTGTATTACAGTAAGTCAAATCATATAGATAAATCATTTTTTCTTCTGTTTATACCTATATTTATATATTATTATTTAATTCAACAGATATTTATGCCTACGAAGCATTCGCGACGCAAAAATAGCATTCGACAGCTTCGTCGCAGAACTCGCATCCAAAAACCAAGACATAATAACCGACACCGCTTCCTATCGCCCAACGCCGAACGGTGACTCAGTCGAAATAATCATCTATGCTAATGCGCCACTGATTAATTTCCTGCAGCTTTTAATTTTGATGGTACAACGTGACGCGGCAGATTTATTTGTCGTTTTACGTAATAAATATAAAAATGATCTGGCAATTGAGCCTTCTTTTGAAGATGTGAGTATTGTTGGTCGTATTCGTAATGATGACAGCGGTTGAAAAATCAATTGATAGTTTTAACTTTTGGTTTTCTATTTGATAGCTTTTGAATAGAATCGGAGAAGTGTTTTTCAATATAAAAGTGCAACGACCACAACAACTAAGCTTTTTACAAGATTTAATGAGCAGCTTTTTTTCACAGCCTGGGGTTCCTGGCGGCGGCAGCAGCAGCAGCAGCAGCACTATAATTGGTGGCGCATCGTCGTCAGTTTCTGCAAATATTAGAGCTAATCAGCCATCAGAATTAGATTAACATATAAATTATGAACAGAATATATCTATTTATTTTTGATTTTTGAACGCAATAAACAGTAACAGTTGTTAACTTTGTAAATTACATATGGTTGATGTCATAAAGAATTAAATAAAAACAGAAACTTCCGTTATCTATTTACAAAATATACCTGCTTTCAATGAACTTGACACCCTTCATCGCCAAAAAAAACATAAATAAAGAATAATAGTTTTGAAAGGTAGCAAGTTAATTGTAACCAGCTATAATTGTTCTTACAATTATTATAATCAACAACATCCACGAAAGAACAGCACCGAAGCAACAAGATCGGCCATTATTGCCATACCAATGAGCCAAAGTCCGTTCTCGAAACTTCCGGTGAACTGCGGATACACATCAGATACCCATCGCAGTCCATCGGTATACAAATGAATTGCTAAGCTCAGACAAAGTGCGATTGTTGGGAACGCGAGGGCGAGTAAAAATCCACGGGTGTAATGTTTGTCGTCGTAGAGCCTGAAAATGTTTTTAAAGATGGTGAGTGCAGCCACGGATAATGTAAAAGCTAGTGTAAGGTATATTGTGAAGGTTATGCCTTGGAAATTGAGAGATGGTTGTAATTGTTTTTGTTATTATGAAATCTGATCAAATGATTTATAAGAGTTAATATTATTTTTTTACCAGTGTTATGTGATGGATTTGTCCAAGGATTTGTGAGATTTGTTACCACTTGCGGAAAATGCCTTTGCATTACCGAAAGTGGATCTAAAACAAATATATGTAATCAAATTTAACTGAAAGAGTCTAAAGAGAATGGGTGATACTATACAAGTAAAAATCTCTACCAAAAGGTTCAACAGTCAGTCCCGACTGAAGTTTACAATCAATAAATTCAAGTTGACCATTCCCATAGCAATATCCATAAAGCCCAAACCGAAGCCAGGTCGCTTCTCCTTGAGTCACATTCGCCAATGCCTCAGAATCTGTCAATCGTAGCTCAACAAAGGACACCCCACGCACTGCGTACGAGCTAGAAGCCAATAACGCAAACAACATCAAGAAAAACACGAGCAAAGTGACCATAAAACCAATCAACTCTAATCGCTGTGTGTACGAAATGTGAATACTTTTTGGTTTTAGTTTTCGCGATGGGCTTGGATGGTTTTTATCGGGTATGGAAGTGATTGGCACTGCTACATTTGCTGACAACACTGAATGTGGTGGTGATGTTGCAAAAGAATCGTTTAGGCCATTTGAGAATGTATCAGGTTTGTTGTCGTTATTGTTGGACATTGCGTTTTTGGCGGGTGTGGCCGAGGGTTACATCAGAGGTAAATGAACTAAATTTACTATGGTGTCAGAAATCTTAACTCAATTTTCTATTGAATTATAATTTGGGCTGGCACTATAATAATGCTAACCAATCAAATTAGATCGCATGATAAAAAATCACATGATTTGTTTTTAAAATCTGACGCTTATCTCAAAGAACAGTTTAGTTTTTCTAAATTTCATCTCTATAAAGTGTTGAAAGGTTTTAAAAATGATTCATTATATTATTGAGTTACCATATTAATAATAAAAAAATGTCGATCCCGAATTATATACATATCTACACACTGGTGAAATTTTATTTCATATTAACGTTAAATATTTAAAAAATATATTTAACTAGGACAACTGCAGATTCCGGAATGGTGACTTGTACTAAATTAATCAATTAATTGATTAATCAGAATAAAAATTTGACTTACTAACTTACCAATGTTAAATAAATTAGTGAATTTGTCAATGAATTTCATATAATATATATAAAATCTTTTTCGATCTTTTCAATTAGTTACATATATTCATTTATAAATTGATTCTAGCTTTTCTTGCAGTTTTATTGAAAGTCTTAATAGCATAATTTAGAATAACATAGAAGTATATACGTATTTGAACAGGTTCTTTTTCAGGTTTTTATTATATAACTGGAGAAATACGTAAATAAATTTAATGTATGATTTGAATAAATAGTTTTTTTGCCATTGCAAAAATAACATGAATTCAATTAGATATATTTTAACTTATATAAATAACACCAATTAATTTATCTAAACAAGACAGATCAGATGGTTCAAAATGATTAACTATAACTCAAAAAAATAATTTAGTTGCTTCCTGTAATTTATTTTAAACAAAAATGTAATTATTTGATTTATTTGGACAAAAAGAATTAATGATTCAAACAATTTACTAAATATTAAAATACTGTGATCCAAAATAACTATTATTTTTTAAAGATAATTTTTTTATATTATTCACCATTTTTTTTGGATTGCAGTATCTTGATATTTAGTAAACTATTTTAAATATAAATATCATAATTTAATTTGTCTTATCCAAATAGATCAAATATTGATATTTTAGTTGAATTTGATTTAATTGTTAAATATCAAAATACCACATCTAAAAATGATTGTTTTATTTTATAAATAATTTTTATTAATGACATTTTTATTTACAAAAGCCAATTCAAAACAAACTTTTTTTTTTAGTTAAAATATAAATAATGATAACAAAGTAAAGTTTTAAAAAAATTCAATACTAAAACAAACTTGAAATTCACTTGATATATAATAAAATAAAAAGCATTTTTATAAAGTTACAGTTTTAAATTTATATTTATAAAAATCAAATGCTCTTTTTTTTTAGTTAAAATATATAGTCAAACCTCTCTATAATTATCACTCTGGAAAAGCAAAATTTGGTGACTATAAAAAGAATGTGACTATAGAGAGATTTTTTTACTATATTTATATGTAAATGGAAAAGCAAAGTAGGATAACTATAGAGAGATGTGACTATAAACAGTGTTACGATTGAAAATTAATATAATTTTCATAATTTACATAATCTACATAATTTCTATAATTTCTATAACTTTTATAAATTTAATAATTATCATAATTACTATAATTATCATTATTTACAACAATTATCATAATTATCACAATTTACATAGTATTTATTATTTATCATTTTTATATAATTGTAATATTTATTAGTAAAAAATATTTATTATAAATACAGCTGGTCTTGTAATTATAAAAAAGCAAGTTGTAGCAATTAGTCCAACTAATGACTTAAATAAAATATCTTTAAATATCTATTACTTGACTGCCTTTATTAAATCTTATCTATAAACAAATTAATTACATGTAATTACATTATTATATTTATTGTATTACTGGACATTCAACCAGATTGCTATAAAATATCAGTACTATATTGCTATAGGACTGTTCACACACTAAGTAAATATAAAAAAAGATATTTATTAATAGTAGTAATATTCTATTTTATTTTATTAATAGCATAGAAGAAGTCATATTGCATATTGATCCTAAAGCAACTGGATCTTAATAGTAAATAAATAAAATTGATAATTAAACACAAACAAATGATTGGTTGAAGTTACAATTTATAATAATATTCAAGAAGAGCCTGAAAGAACAAATCTTGATAATAGCTTAAAACCAAAAATCAAATTCTTTATTAATCCAGCCAAATCAACAATTTTGGATGCTACAATTCATATTACTCAATTATATGAATTTAGTTATCAACAATTTATTAAATTTACTATTAATATTACAATTGCAAGCTTATTAAATATTCCAGTCATACTATAATAACCAAGTAAAATTAATCTATTTTCACAATAATTAGCTGTTTTGATCAATAAATTGAAAATACTATTAACTAATAATAATCAAAATGTTAATTGACAAAATAATGGATCTAATAAAAGAGTATTTAATTAATAATAAAATAATATTTAATCATTAATCTGCTATAATTATAGAAAATTTAAACATATTATATTTACTATCAAAGCAAACATAATAATAACTATAATAATAATAATAATAATAATTGATATCAAAATAAAAATAATAATAATAATAATAATTAATAACAAAATATATACTTTTGTAAACATGTACTACTTTCATCAAAATTTTCAACTGAAATATTCAAACAAATATTAATTAGCAACAAAAATGAAAAATTAAAACAAAATCTATTGATGTAATGTACTGTATTAGAAAAATTAAAAATTACAAAGCAATTATTATTATCAATGATATAGTTATGAGTAATATTATTATAATATGAATATTTAGTTCTTATTTTATTGATTAATTAATATCATAAATTTAATTGAATAATATTTTAGTATAATATTATTGGATAATTATATTAATAATTAGTATTTGAAATTTAATTTGAATTTTTGATTCGAATTTCAATTTAAATTTCTATTTGAATTTCAGTTTGAATTTTGATTTGAAATTCAATTCAATTTATAATTTTATTGAATATTTAGTTTTTATAAATATAGTATGTATTTTAGCTAGTAATAAAAAAATAAAAAATTCCATAGTTTTTAGGATCTCAAAAATAATTAATAACAATTAAAAACATGTAATAAATCAATAATAAATTTGTTTATTAATAAAATTATATATATTTATTATTATATTATAATTTTATAATAAAACTATATATTTATTACATAACATTCCTTAATAAACACCCCCAATATAAATTTCAGATCTCATTCTAACAGATTATATTGTGAACACACTGTTATTATCATTCTAGATTCATTATAATCATGATATAATACTTGAAGCATTATATTTAACTATACCATTTATACTCTCTCACTTATTATTATTAATAGATATTATTATAATTATCCTGATTAAATAATCTATTATAATATTATAAATTTTTTTTTATATAACCTTATGATAATCTAGAATGGTAACAATATATATTTTGGATTATTTAATCAATGTGTGGATAAGGTAAAGTAATCTAGATTAAAGATGGGATCACAATTAGTTGCAACTTGGTTACAATTCTTTGAATTGACTATCATAATTAATTGTAATTAAATTGCAATTCTCTAATTAAATACTGCAAGTCACAATTAATTGAGACATTATTTTTAGTCTAGATATATTATTATTCAAATTAAATGATGATTATAAAGGAATTTTTTTATTATAATTAATATATATTATGAAAATAAAATTGGATGATTATAGAGAGAGATGATTATAAAGAGATTTGATTGTAATTCTGAATCAGAATTGGTCATGATTTTCGATCGGAATCACATGACTAAAAACTTTTTCGCCGTGGCTACTATTTTTCTTGGTTATACACAATATGACAGTACGAAATAGAGGAGTGACTCTTGAAGAATGGGAATCAAAAACGCAATTAACAGAACTACAAAAACAAAGTGTTTTAGAGATACAAGATGCTTGTCTTGAATTACCTTTGCCAGAAGGAGTATGTAAAGTTCATGGGTCGTGCTTCTTTCATACTCTTCAAAACCTTTAATTATCTTTTAATAACCAACTTCATTATGTCAGTATTTACACGACATAGGAGGTGGAACTGGAACCCCGCAGTTAGTTTCTTCTCCTAGCCTAAAAGAAAACTACCGCACCTCACCATATCCACGACTCACTCCCTCGCCACTGCCAAAATCACGGTCCACTACAAACCTGCTTGCCGAACTAGCAGCGGAAGCAGCCGCTGCAGTAGCTTCATCGACTGACGCGTCGTCTCTTGGGATTTCACAACCTATTGAAACAACTCAACAGTTTTTCGATTGGTTTGCTAAAATGGAAACTGATATGGAGAAAGATCAAGAGGATGTTTATAGGTTGGTGGTAACATTTCTGTAAAATCAATTTTTGATATTTTGATATGAGTTTATATATAATAAATTTTGATGACTTATTTCAGAAAAATAATCTATTAATAATTTATTGAAGAAACTTCCTGGCCGTTATTACCATGTATCGTCAATCATGTGATAACTTTCTAAGTCAGATTGACTCGACTGTCAAACTTTTTCATGATCTTGATGGAAATTTTCGATTCGTAGAAGAACGTACAAAGGCGTTGCAAACTGCATGTGAGAAACTTTTGGAGGAGCAAGTAATTATTTTTACGACCGAGATCTTTTTATATATAACACATACATTAAATTTCTTTGATATCCTTACAAAGAATCATCTGGAGGTGTTGGCGGATGCAATGGCTTCCAAACTCGCATACTATAACGAACTTGAAACGATATCTGATCTCTTTAGCTCTCTCGGGGAGAATATTTGTGAAAAGGAAGAATTTCTTCCGATGCTTTCCAGGTTAGATGAATGCTTAGAGTACATGCAAGGAAATGTAGTTATTTTTTTTATTATACATTTATAATTAAAAGTTTTCCGAGTTTTTGTAGTATGTGGTTGCATATAGTGATTGAATTATCGTTGCCTTTTTTTATTGTTATTTTGTTTGGGATAGTTAAGATATCGCGACTCTGAGCCATATCTAATAAGTTTTCGACAATGCATGACTCGTGGAATGAACTTGATAAAGATTACTTTTGTTGGGATTATTAAAGGACTCGGAATAGAGATTGCCAAAAAGACCAATCAGGTGAGGACATTAGTTTACTCATGCAATGGGATCCTTTTTAGTTGGTTTTTCTCGAGAAAAAAAAATAATTTCCGTTACTTTAAAAGCCTTTAAACCTCGAATCTCAACAAGAATTATTTTATTCGAAATTCCGGTCCTTGGCTCCTAGACTTAAGCCGCTTTTAAGTGAGATAGAAAAAAGATGTCCGGCTTATGGAGAGTAAGTAAATCTTATTTAAACATTTCTTTTATTATTATCATTTCTCATCATTTTCATGTAATATCAATAGATATACTTCATTGCTAAGTGACTGTTATAATGCATATTTTTCGGTGCGTCAGCAATTGCTGATCCCAGCAATTGTTGCTCAGATACAAACAATGGGATCTGGTGGATCGGATATCTTGGCTTTTGTAATCTTTTTTCGCATTATTATTAATCAATGTAATAATCATAATAATTGGTAATATTGATTAACATATATATATTTAAGACACGCAATGGATACAGTTATATGAAAAGCCTTTGTTCTGATGAGTACTCTTTGTTCCATGAATTTTTCTCTACAGGTGGAGATGACTTGTAGTAAGTATGTTAAACACATTTATTTTAGTTTGATTTGATAATGTGTTTGTATAAAATTTTTTTAGTGGCAATTTAGATTTGCTGTGTAGCTATCTCTACGATGAGCTTCGTCCACTTATTATCCATGAAGCACATATTGATACATTATCCGAGTTATGCACGATATTGCAGGATCATGCGATCCATGATAAGCAACTTGCAGGTATGCACTCGCTTTGCACGAATTTCATTTTCTCTTGTTTAAAAAGATGTTTTATTTATATATAGAAAAAGGAAAATCTGGACTACGATTCAGTTTTTTAATTCGGAATGTACTACAAGATGCTCAACAAAGACTCGTGTTTCGAGCACAAACTTATATCGACAGCAATATAAAAAAATTTGTGCCACAGCCCAATGACCTCGATTACCCAAATAAACTTGAAGGTACTATTACTGCTTTTCTGAAACTGTGTGAGTGTGTGATTCTTAATTTGACTTTTATTTTAGATTCGTCCGAAATTACTGCTGGTGACGAGACATCAAATATTGAATTGGAGCCAACAGCAACCAACATAGCAACTGCTCCTACCACTACTATTACTAATACAACAATAAATTCTTCAGGACCTGCCTTATTGCCAGTACAACAAGAACATGGTGATGATGATGTTAATAACGAAGATAACAGATCAAATATCTCTACATCATCATTCTTTAACAAAACTGAAACGACAGAGAATTATCGCGGATGTTTTCCGACATTGCAACGGACTTTGTGGATTCTTTCAAAACTTTATTTATGCATTAATGTGCGTTTATCCTTATGATAATATATATGTATCGTCAGTATTTTTCCTTATTTTTTTCCTATTCACCGAAATGTTCTTTTATTAGGATTCTATATTTGATGGTATCGCGCAGGAGGTTGTTCAACTCTGTTTGCAATCCTTATTGACGGCAAGCGAAACTATAACTAAAAAGGTAACAATAGCACTTCAATTTTATAATTCCCGTGTCTTATTTATAGTAATCAAATCATCTTCATTTCAGAATAAATTAGACGGACAGCTTTTTTTGATAAAACATCTTTTAATATTGAAAGAGCAGATTTCAGCATTCAAAACTCAGTTTATTCATGATGAAAAAGATTTGGATTTTTCAGAGATGACTGGTAAATAAATAAATCATATTGAAAGTTTGGTTTTGCTAATTTTTTTTATAAGAGGTGCTTATATTATTACTTATTATATTAAAAAAAAGATGCAATTAACGAAATTCTACAAAACAAGTATTCAATTCTCAGGCCCAATACTTTGTTCGGGCTGGCACAAAAGGGAATACCGAAAGTTGTGGAAAGTAGAGTCGATTCTAAATTGGTGTGTACGATTATAAATTATTTTATCTAATTATCAAATTTCTCAATAATTATATAATCAAGCCACAATAATTTTTGAATATCAACCAATAATTTACTAGGAGGTTGATAAAAAACTAAAACGTGTCTGCGAAGAATTTATTTTGGATAACGCCAAGGAAGCTGTCGATCCTTTATCATCTTTTTTATTGAAGGCAGGTTTCAACAAATATTCGAAATTTTCTTAAAAATAATCTATTTATTGGATTTTTGGTTGCTGCCATAGGTATCAGCGTTTAGAATGAGAAATGATCTAAAGCCTGCGCATCAGCAAACCGTGCTGAAAAATCAAAGTTTTGCTCAATTAAGTAAATAATTATATATAAGTCTAAATTTTTTATATGAAAAAGTGCTTGTTTATTCGAGACGATTAGTTGATCAACAAATTCTATGATATTTATAGAAAACATTATCCAAGTATACGAGGAATTTCAAACTGCTGTGAAATTACGACTCCGATTTATCATTTCAAAACTATCTCAATATCTTAATGACACTAAAACGGAAAATGTATTACTTAAGCCAATGCAGGTTTGTTTTTATTCTATTCGTATTACCTGATTACGGGATCATTTTTACGTATTCATTGTTTATTTAAATACCAGAATCACATTATCGAATCATATCAAGCATTTTACGATATCATCGAACTAGAATTCGATATGGTCAAACTACAAAGTTCGCTGAGTTCCGTGGAGAACGTCAAAATTTGGGTCGAAGATCCTGATTCTTGGCAAGATGAGCGAGAAGAAAGTGAAGACGTAGTGTGGTATTCATGAGAAGTGATAATGTCAAGCACAGAATATGCCTCAAAGACTATTACATGGGTAGTGTTCGTCTTCAGATCAATCTTGCAAACTAACTAAAAATTAATATCCAATACTAAGATTTCAGGGGTTACCTCTTCAAAGCAAATAATTTATAAAAATACAGCTACTACTTTAAGAATGAATTGATCAAACCATCTTTGTAGTAGAAAAGAAAAATGTTAAATTACGCCTTTGTGTCAACTATTGGATATATAGCTAGGAATGTTCCCCAAACTAAAATTTCAAGAAAATGCCAAATCCCAAATTAATATCTCAAATATAATTTGATTGGGAAAATTTTAAAATTGAATTTTCTTTTTAATAAAACTTTATATATCAAATTTCAAAATGAATTTTAATTTGGGCTGTGAGAAAATCACTAATCCGGGCAATCTGAAATTTCATAATGTCATTCTATATCCAGAGGCATATATACAAAACTCCCGAATGTACGAATAAATAAATGTGTTTTTTCGTATTTCCAAGTATTAAAATAAAGAGAATTAGCGAAATAGAAATAATCTTTTCATATAAAATATTTTTTCTTTATATAACGGATAATCTAATTGTTGTAATATGTAAATGGATATAGTTTTAATTATATTTCCATGCCCAAAATCGATCTAGTATCTCTTCTTCTCGTAACTTCATCTAATAAAAATTGATTAAAAAATAGCAAAATTCACATTCTCGAAATATCCCAAAAAAATACCTCTTCCCATTCAACATCCGTTTCATGATCGTACCCCAGCAAATGACATATTCCATGCACACACAAAACCGGCAGACGTTTCTGGAATTTTTGATCATGTTTTTTGCACCAATGTTTCACGTACTCTACGGATATTACCAAGTCACCGAGATTTCGGAAATCTGGTGTTTCGGGGTGTGGTAAAATACCTGGGGAAAGTGCCTTTTGTTGATGGATCAATAAAAAAATATAATTTGTTGTTTTAGAAATAATTATCGACGCCCTTTATATAACTCATAGCAACAAACATTAAAGAAGAAAACGGAAAATACTGTAGTAAAAGGAAAAGAAAGTATATCAGTAGGTTTTGCTTTATTTCGATATCGATTGTTCAGATGCCTTATATATCGGTTTCCTGCCAAATGTACGCCTAAATCCCAGTCTGGAAATCTTGCTAATGTTAAGAGTTTCTCTAAATCACGTTTGAGGGTCTTGGGTATCGGCAAGAAACGTTGCGTATTTTTTACAAGAACTGTCATATTTTTAATCTATTGTAAAGATTTGATTTTTTTTATGTTGACGCAGAATTTTCGTAATTTCATCCAATACATTTTGTGTACCTTAATAGTTGAGATCTTGTAAAACCTCAAATTTTGAAAATCTTTGTAATTAATTAAAATGTAATCGGTTGAAAATTAACACGTGACTAATGGGAGATGCAAAATTTATTATTCGAATTATATTTTTACACATAATGAGCATTTTCCAAATGGCAAATAATTTATTAGGAAAAAACTTAATCATACAAAGGTAGGATCACCGGGGACGACAGGATTACCCGGTGAATTTGCACCCGACGACGATTCAGAATCTGATTCAGAATCTGATGATGGTGAGTTAGAGCCACCACCACCAGGCAAAACTTCAGTAGTCTGGACTGATGACGTACCAGCAGCATCAAGATTAACAAAGCTACTCAGTCCACTCAGCTCGTGTTGAAATTCTTCCGTTGATGTCATATTTGATTTGGTACTGGAATAACGAAACGATGAATAATCTCTCTAAAAAAGAATTAAGATAATAATTTTGAGACTTACGATCCAACAGGTCGTCCACGTTTTCGTTTTTTCATCGGTTGGCTGGGCAAGGTTTGCTTCATTGGAGCACAAGTATTGCAAAACCATTTTCCTTTCGGCACTTTCTCTAATCCCACACAACCGATATGGAACCACTCATATGGGCAATCCTGGTAAACAAAAAAAGACAATTTCCAATACTTTCGTAATATAGTCACAAATAAAATTCATCTGATTTTCTACAATAAATTACCTCCCCATCACACCCAATCATCTCGCCAAAACTGACTTGACGACAATAACAATAAGTAGGCTCCGAAATAGCCATAGCCGTAAAACTCGAGGTCGCTAAAACTTCTTCGGTGAATGTCATGTCTTCAGATCCGCCAAAATCTAAGCCGACAAAATCACTAAAAGTCTGTTGTTGCTGCTGCTGTTGTTGTTGCTGTTGTGATGATGTTCCGCCGGGTGTAGGGCTACCATTAAATTGATAATCCTCCGATGTAATGCGAAATTTGATTCCACGTCCTCCTATAGTATTATTACCGTTGTTATTTGCATTTGGATTATTAATTGGAGTTCTACTTCTTGGCGTGACATACACATAAATGCATAAGGCAAGGTGTTAATACATAGAAAGTCATAACTGTAATCGAGTATGGTGTCTCATCACCTATTCGGGGATTTATTGTTTATTTTACCTTGATCCTCTTTTCCTACCACCCCCAGCATTATTCAACCCTGATTTACGACCTGCTTAATAAATGAGCACAAGCAATTTTAGACCAATTCTGTATATTATATTAATATAATATAGATTGATTATTATGATATATCCCATTTAAATACTGACGTCCTCTTATACTAGCTAATTGATTGGATGATAAGCCACCACCATTTTGAGGATTCGGCAATAAAGGTAATGCTGAATATTAGAAATGATACCATTTAAATTCAACTAACATATTTGGCAGAAGCACAGTAGCAGCAGTAATAATTATGACAGATATGCGCTAAAAGATGATAGATGATAGGAAGATTCTAGAGTGAAAACATACAAAATTGTGCATCCTCGGATTCAAAACTCGGTGAGCGGCGAGCAAGAGACTCAAAATCGAAATTTGGTTGGTTATGGATGGATAAAGAGTTGCTGTTGATTAACACTGACCCTCCATTGTTATTTCCATGTATTGTGGTAGGTGTATAATTAGGAAGTGTATGATTCGGAAACAGTGCTACAAAATCATCGTCCATACGTTTAAGATGTCGTCGAACCTTAATTGAAATATCAAACCTAAAACTATTAGTTACCCCCCAATTGATGATTATCGTGATATGAAATTAAGGAATTGTTAATAAAACGAAAAATATTCACCAGATTGAGTGCCTTTCCAACTAAATCGACTTTTTCTTCCGATAGAAGAATCGCCCTGTCATAACCTTCACGAATAATTTGTTTGAGTTCACTCTCTGTGTATTTTTTATCCTCGCTCGCGCCATCCAACATTCTTTTTTTACTTGGATATCGCGAGTCATCGTCATCGTCATCCTCGCTGTCTTCATCCGATGACAAGCTGTCCATCATATTCCATAATTTCTTTTGTAGAATCTTCATCCTCCTCCGGATATCTAACAATCATGATTGCAAATCGATCGTCAATGTTTGAATCACGCAAGGTGAATTATTTTGCTTTATCACAAACAGTTGTATCGAGTGATACCTTCTACTTCTTTGTCTTTATTTTCTATTTCATGAAATATATGCTGAATTTCTGGTGAAAGATTATCAATACCTATAAAAGAGACCAAACTTCACTTAAGAAAACCGAATTGATGCACGACAGGAAATCAGAGAGATATCGATCAGGTAATTCTTAACATACTTGCTAGATATTCTAGTAAATACTCGTTTGCATCAACAGCAGGATCAGTCATTTTAAAAATTAGTGTAGTTAAAAACAAGTTATAGCTTTATTAATAAAAGTGTCAGTTTCTAACGCGCCAACCATTTTTTAGACATTACCGTTACATTACACAATATGATTTCCAAAATACAGTGTGATTTAATCACGTGATACCAATCAACAAAAAAATTCGGTTTATGGGGTTTACTATAGTCATAATACAAAAAAATACGTCAGTACCTATTTTGCCGTGTATAAGCAACCAGTGACATTGCCCTTTTTTAGTAATTTTTTAATTTATTACATGTATTTATTGTATTAAGTATCACATATTTATATGTAAACATTTATTTGTCACCGGTTGCTTATACACGGCAAAATACGGTATTCAAAATTACCTTGGACTTATATAATCGTTGATATTTCGAAAAACAAAACATTTCTTGATGTACTGCGCCATATTATCACGCGATCCTCGAACCTCGAGGTCAGGGCCTTGTTGCTCTAATCAAATTATCGATTGCAAATTATGTAGCCATATGGCAAGTTTGACAAACACATCAATTTACTATATGCCGTGAGAAAGAGAATACATCGGAAATGGTTTTTAAATCTTACATTGAGCAAAAATCGTGCAAATCTTATAAATGTATATACATATACGATTATGTGTCAAGACATTCACCGAAATCCTCGATATCTAATGAACGCTTATCTTGTTGATTCTAAAGACGCACCATGCTGAGGAAGCACATACTTTTCGAGAAATTCCTCAGCTTCCTCCTCTCTGCTCAATTCCGAATGGCATTACATTAAATTCGTACATGCCTTGTTGTGTGGTGAATGCAGTCTTTTCCCGATCTTTGGGATCCATCTCGACTTGCCAGATCCACTAGCCAAATCAAGCATTGAGAACCATTGTGATCCTTCAAGCAAGTTGAGAATTTTATTGATTCTTGGTAACGGGTAAGCATCTTTTTTAGGGGAACACTAAAGCCAGGTAGTGTGGCTTAGCATCAATTTACCAAGTTCACTGGAAATTTTGCTAGACAAGGAGCTAGTCCCTACAAAGACATTACATCTAAAATTTCGCGCATTTTTACTTGGAGGTTTGGAAGCTATTCGTTTGTTTTGAATTTTGTATGTTACACATGATCCTGCAATTAGATTGGTCAAATATGTAATTTGATTAACGGATCCTTATATTTAGCATGTCACACGTTTTCGATGTTACGAATCTATCTAGAAACGAAGAAGCTTCAGTTGTTTTTGGCTTAATAGAATCTTAAAGTGTAATCATTTTTATCTTTGTGCCATAATGAATTTTTTCTAGTAGAAACAGAAGAGAATACTTAGCTATGCAATCAACTTCCGCAACAGCAACACGTGTATTCAACACATTCTAAAATCAATGAAAATTGTAAATATTCGTCCATCTAATATCATTCATCATAAGATACTTGAGTTTAAACAAAGAATAACACAAATGCTGTTCATTTACGCCTTTTAAAGTTGGTATAATTTCTACATCGGGGGCGTTTTATGTTAATAAACTTTCACGCTCTAAATATAATGAAACAGTCACTTTAGGATGTAATATCTTGATGTCTAGTGATCGGATTTGAGCGAAAATACTACCATTTGACTCATTTAGTCGAGGTGAATCGAATGGTAGTATTTGTGTTCGAATTTGATCACTGGGTGTCGAGATAAGAGACCGTTTCATTTTTTGACGA